CTGATGCCAACAATTAATGGGACCAATTTCTTTTTGGAAAAACAGCTGTGCTTGACGAAGCGTTAGCTGCTCCATTTATTAATTGGGCGCCATCATTTCCTTATTCCTATTTCTAACTTCTTTCTTCCACTGCTTTCTGCCTCTGCTTCCCTCCCTTCCTGCTGGGGTAGAAGTTGGAAACCTGAATCATGCCGTTCTGCTTGTTGCTGTCGGGCAGAGAAACCAGCGAATCAGTGCAACAGCTCCACTCAGCAGCATAGGGATTTTCACAACACTGAACATCACAATCTCACAACATTATCTGAGGCTATAGTGGGAAATGGCTTAGCGCTTAAACTGTCTGTGCTTCTGAGCCAACTGACACTGACTGGCAGAAATGTTGGGCCAACAGAGTTAAAATACTGCTTAGCACATCCAGAGTTATGACTGAATTACAAAAGAGGAAAATGTTTTTTTTAAACAAACAAAAACCTTTTTTTTTTTTTTAGCTCGGACTGAAGAAATAATTCAAACTGGGAAACTAATTACGCTGTGTGAAAAAAAAATAGTTATGCATACAAAATAGCTCAATTTTCCACTACTACACCCATTCTGCTTGTGGTGTGACTGACAGCTGAGGAGAAAATGACACCTACACTTGTGGCTGCAGAGTGCCGAGGAAGTTGTCAATGCGTTCCTGTGGCACGTCCCCGTCTAGCTGAGCCAGGTAAGTGTAGAGCCTGACAAAGGTGTCGAACGGGATCTTTGCGGCACCACCCGTCTCATCCTCTGTTAGGATCTCGCAGGCAAACTTAAGCGAACTGATAAGAGTCTGAGGATTTGTGTTGCCACAAAAACAAAGAATTAGTTTGCTGTTGCATCGCATTTAAGCAAGACACACTGCAAATATACTTGCATGCACACACTGTAACTCAGAAAGCTAAATCTAAGTAGCATAAGAGTGCCCTCGTGTGGTTAAAGTGTTCAAGAGCCTTGAAAACAGGAGTAGAATTCTACCCAAATTACTAACACTGAGCACATAATGCTGTTAATGCTTAGCTGCATTTGCTTTCCTAGACACCAACTTATCTTCTGTAAAGTTCTTCATGCTTAAATAAATTCTCTTTGATCTGTCACTACTGCTCTATCTGAATCTGTGAAGCAAAAAAAAATATCATTGGCTTAACAGCGAAGCAAAGATTCAAGTAGTTGCTGAAGGATTTATCCAGTCACTCTTTTTTGGAGCCAGGGGACCCCGATGATGGAGACTGCATTGCAAATTCCTGGATCTAACATTAACACCTGGAGACTAGAGTGTGCTGCTGGAGGATCTCCAGCTGTGCTTGGCCTCGGACCAGGTTTTTAAGGCTCAAAGGAAGAAGTATATAAAGTTGTATTTGCATTTATAGCCAGGATTGTGAACACCTCACCCCTCCAAGAGCGCTGCAGCCCAGGGCAAAAAACTCCATCCAGTCAATATCTGAGCCAAAGCTGCCCAGCGACAGCAGGGTCTCCAGCTGAGCCACAGGTAGACACAAGCCCTTCCACTTCGCCTGCAGTTCCTCTTTGCTACAGGTTGTCTTGGGTGACAGCTATGATTTGATGATAAAAAAATGGGGGGTTAGGAGACTTTAGGGGGAAAATTCTAGTTATTCACTTTCTAGATAAAATCTGAAATGAGTCCTATTTCCACAAATAAACAACAAGGTTGGATATGGAGAATCTGGTGGCTCTATTTACTTACAATCTCTTTTTTCTCTAGACTTTTATATGTGGACAGCCAGGGCATAAATAACCGCAAATACTGATGCACAGGATATAAACACTAATAATAATCTCTCAAATAATGGCACAGATCTGCATTTGTTTTGCATTCAGATTTTCTGGATTTCTTTCAGACTTTCTACTATCAATGCAGTTTAAAATGTTACAAAATGAATAACTCGAGACAACAAAAGAGCAGCACTCTCACAAGATTAATGCTGCCGCTTAAGTGCTAGCTTTTAAGGAAATATAAATTATTCATTTCTTTTAATGAATCCGCCACACCGAGATGCCAGTAAACAGCCCAGGTGAGATAAAATGGATTTAAGACAATATGAAACTTTAATGACCCACACGGGAAACATCACTGCTATATGGAGACACACACATAAAAACACGCATAAAAGAATAGAAGAGTAATCAAAGTTGGACATTAAACTCAATGGAAGTTATAATTATATCCATAAAAGCAAAACAGTAAATGACGAAACGCAAATATGTGATAAAGTAAATGCATTTATTTCTTTCAAAAGCAACAGTGAGAATAAAAATTTTATTTGTGCGACCTGCTGTTGAGAAACTACCTGTTTGTGGAGGATCTTCAGAAGACCTGGAGTCAGCCCAGTGTCCGTCTTCTGGGTGGCAATATTTAATTCCAGCCTGTCCTTAACAGGCAGACACTCTCCTTTAGACAGAGCACTGAAGTATCTGGAAGAGGACACAGTCATAATAATTAGCAAAGAATTCTTAAACACTGTGTTTAGCATCACCATTCTCTGAAATTCATCTGCCCCCAAGCTTCCTAAGTATACCATTCAAATATACCATTTGCTTTTCGTTGTGAGAGGTTTTAAAGGCATGCTGTGGCATATTTCACTTCATTATCAGAAAAGAAAAATTATAACTTTCCATGCATTTACTGACTTTCAGGATCTCTGAAAGGGAACAGAGCCAAGTATTACTTTAATAACATAAACATCTCATCACCCAGGAGGCGCTCGATTTGTTTTTTTGCTTCACTGTATGACTCACTTTATTTTCTATTGCTATAAACAAAGCCAAGCTACATTGGTCAATAAAAAAGAAGAGGATGCTGAGAGTCCTTAGAGGTAGGAAATAAAAGGTAAAAGAAAATAAATTGAATATTTCCATATCATCGAGTGCTTTTAGCATGGTTTTTCTTTATTCGAGACAGTAAGATAGTTTAACTGCTGCACTAACATGAAAGCCCTTGGGATTTAATTACAGCTAGTCAATGCAACGATAAGACACGCACAGGTGAAAGGGGCCTGCCTTTCCCTACAGTGATGTAGCCTGGAGACATGGTTTATGCTCCTGTTTGTGAGAATTAAACTGGAATAAAACACAATCACACATATCTCTACTCTTAACCTGAACCTTCATTGACAGACATTAAGACTTACGCCGTAGACCACTGCAACAAATCCTTGGGCTGTGTTCGGATGGCTGCCTTAGTAAAGTCTTTAAGGATGTCTGGCAGCTCGGGAGGGATGTTGATTTGCTGGGCACAGTAGAATGTGTCTGGAAGAGGCATGGCTGTAATATAAACAATGCAATAATGTCCAATTAGTTGAAAAAAAAATAGAATCCAATAGAAAATTAAAAACTACACTAAAAATCACCCGCACTGACAAAAAAAAAACATAATTAATATAAAGACTGCATTCTGGTGCTTCAAATTTTTCTGTGCTAGCCATGGGAGTTTGACAGGAATATAGACATATGATTATGAATACAGTGTGTTTCAAAGAAGTAAGTTTAAAATTTGCATATACACTCTCATCTGGTACCGTTTTTTTTACCGATTCAACTTAATAAATTAATACTAATTTCTAGTCCACCAAACATTTTCTCCCAATTGTCCCTCTCCTTTGTTCAACTACATAAATATAGTATGTTCACCGACATTAATCCACTGTATGGTACTTGCTTTAAAAACTGTAGCATGTTACCTGGACTGATGAACAGAAAGTCACCGGAAGACGCCCCTGAAATATGAGTTGCTAGCCTAAGTAATGATTATTTATGCCTAGCAGTTCATGGGAGTGTTGTAGCGTCGTCGCATAGCAACGGCGTCTTCTTCTTCTTCTCCCTGTGGTATTAGAAACCCCACGGGAAGAGCACTACCGCCCCCTCTGCTGAAAACACTGTTCCTGGTACATGCTCAATCATCCAGCTAAGGAAATCCCAGAAAGTTGATTCTGTTCATGTGGAGGCAACGTTATCTGTCTGACGAAAATAACATGACACCCATGGAGAACACCGACATAAATCTCAATACTCAGTCAGAAATATTCCTCCAGTGAAAACAAACTGGTGCACAAAACACCACTTTCAAAACTTTTTACTTAAATAAGAGCTAGAATCAGTAGCACCAGTGGCCCGTTCTATGCTGTATAATGGTTTGGGGCACTATAAGACAGTACTGTAGTAATATTTCTAATACAGTAACTTTGATGGGGCAGCCTATCATATTTCAGGATGCAGGCCCCTTTGCTCCCCTTCTAGACACCCCCCTGCTGTAAGGAACAAATGAATCATTCATCATAATTTAGAACTATTAATGGAATATTTACACAGATATACAAAAGGGCATTTTCAGCAGAGATCAGTGTTCAAACAGCATACTCTGCTCCCTCACCTAAGTTTATTGTAGTAAGACTAACTGATCATTGGGAAAATACCTTTTCCCTCATGTTAGTTACGCTAAAACCTGTCGGTCAAATTGAATAAATGATACATTTAATCAGATATGTGTTTAGAGGAATCTTTATGGGTTTTATTACAGTCTCAAAACTTTAAACATAAACTTTCTTTTGAAACTGGTCACTGGCTTTAATATTTTTATTAAGATAAAATTTAACTTTAGATAGAAAAGTGGAAGACCAAAGTAACACTGCAAAAGGACAAACACATTAGTTTCGAGTTTAGAGAGACTGATGTACCCTCAGAAGGCCTCTTAGGTCCTGACTACATTATAAGGAATCTGTAACCTAGACTGTGCTTGTTTTTTAAAGGAACAGTAGAAGTTAGTGTGAAAGCGTTAATTTTAGGGCAACTTCCCAAACTTTGGCATTACATGGCTTACAGCCTTGAAAGCTTCACAGTACAATTATGTTGTCATAAACAGTCTGGGTTAACTTTGCTTCGTGTGATGACTTGAAAATATATCAGATGCAGGAAGAGCTGCTGCAAAGCATGTGACATACAACATATTGATGACAGAGTTTTTCCTGTGTCAACACACATTTATTGAAGTGATGCCACAAACAGGCAAAACATCATATTGGAGATTTTATTATTAAACAGCTTCTAGAAAATTCAGGATTCCACAGACTGTGATTAGAAAATAATAACAACAACATGGACAATTTAAAAAACAAACAAAAAAAAAAAAGCAGAATATCTGACCCCCGACCAGCCCCAGTACTCAAAGGAAATATGATCAGACCAGAGAGACAATTTCATACTTGTGTGACAGAAACACATGCACATTCACACAATCACCGTCAGGTCACATACACTGGAAAGTGCAGATTTGTTCTAGCACATGTAGAAACTGAGCAGGTACAATATGCATATGAAATCCCTTTCAAATTCAACCAACTTAACATCTAATGAACTCATGTAATACGAAGAGCACAGAGTTTCGAATCTCAAGTTCTTGCAACAGTACACAGGGGCAAAACACCAAAAACCATAATGTGTCTAAAAGTAATTAATGAGGATGGAGTAGCAAAAGAAAAAAAACAAAACACAGGTTACATGAGCTAGATAATGGGCCAGCTCAAGGTTCTAGTCCACTTTTACCTCTCAAATCTCATATCTTTCTCTACTTGATATAAAAATAAAACTGTGCTTCTCAAAAAAACAAAAACAAAACAACAACCCTGGACGCTCCGGAGCCTATAAAACTATCTAGGATGTAATATTACACTCCTTTGATACTTCAGACGGGAACTCTGCCACAAACATTGCTCCATAAATCTTATCTGATCGTTTCCTGGACGAACCTTGGGCCACGTGATCATTTGGGAAGCGCTCGAGTGCATTTCTGTGATTGACAGTTTGTGGAGCACAGCAGAACCATTTCAAAGCATTAAAAAAAACAAACGGAAAAAACGTTGTCTTATAAAATGTTCTGGCTTAAGCAATTTCTCACCAGTAACTGAGCAATTTGCAAGTGAGCCAACAATCCCAAAAGCATTGTAGCACCACAGACCAAAGTGTGCAGAAAGAAAAACATTCTGAAGCAATGCAAATGAGCTAAATCCATGCTTAAAATGATATAAATGCTATTTTATCCTATCTTTACATGCCGCTGCCTACTGTATTGATTTGGGTCCTCCCTTCTTTACCAAAGGCAAAAGTAATCACTGCTAAAAACAGAGTCACTCGTGTACTTCTGCTCTAATTTCTGTAGTCTAATCCCTCTGCAGAGTTGGATCCAACAGGAAAACGTGAATGTGGGTAAATTAAAAAGAAATGCATGTAGAAGACTGGACAATTCAGAATAGCATATTTCCTCCGTTTTGGTTGGGTAATGGTCATTTTAGCATCGTCTTCTATGCTTTTGGGAGATCAAGCTGTACTTGCTACAAACCCATAGCTGGTCAGCTGCTCAGTAACATGCGTCTATCATTTCCCGTTTCTATCTCTTGCCCCTTTTGTTACCAGCTGGGGGCTTCTTCAACTGGAGTAAGGGTGCTGCTGTGGCAAAGCCTCCAGGAGGTGGGTTAGACACGCCAAATGTCAGGCCGGCAGAGGGGTTGATGCCAGGGTTGCTGAAGTTGAAGCCTGAGCTGTTGGTGCTACCAAAACCTAGTGAAGCAAGACAAGGAACAAAAAACAAAAAAACAGTCAAATACGAGAAAAACAAAAAGATAAAACATGAATAACATGAGGATTTAGAAAATCTGGTGTCAGAAAAAGGAAGTTCAAATGAAATTCAGAGGTTTTTTATAAAGATTTTGCCATCCTAGCTTAAAACCCCCAAGGTTCTAAAGTGCCAACACACACAAACAAACAGATATACACATAACTGTATTTACCCACTGCTGGGACGTTCATTATAACTTTAAAATATGGATATACTAAACTTGTTGCAGTGCCATTTACATCACACTAATGAGACACAGTTACAGCTTAGACCCTTTCCAAACTTTATACACTTAGCGAGCTGAGCCTTTATTCTTTGTTGCCATCATGTTTGGTGGCCCAGGTGTTAAGGTGCTATATACAGCATGTATTGTACCTGCACTCAGACTGCCTCCTGTGGGCTTATTGGTGGAAGAGAAGGCAAAAGAAGACCCCCCAGTCCCCACCCCACCAAATCCTGGCCCACCACCAAAACCTGTGGGAGAGAGTGACATGGAAGTCAGACTGGTCTAAGCACACAGCCTAGACTAGATACAAAAACAAGAAGCGCCTCAGGAGTTACACACTGGCAGGCATTAGCAGACAAAAGCAAGCAAAAAAGAAAAAAAAAAAGTCATAAACTAATCCACAGAGCACCACACTTGGCTTAACTTCTGACCGAATACTGCAGAATCAAACAGGACTCACAGTGCACTACACCGCAAAGCAAAGGCCAAAGGAAGAAAAACGGCAGATTTCACCGAATACCCAAACTACGAGAAAACAGACAATACTTTTGAGTGCGCTCAGACCACTTGCTTCCACACTCTCAAGTGGATTTGCAATTTGACATGCCCGTATTTTAACACCACAGCATTTCGCCGTGACAGCTGAGTGAAACAGTTTACCAGGTAACAACTGTACGATAGGATTGCAGTTTTTGTGTGTGGTGTGAACGCACTTGACTCCTCGCAAAAGGCAGAGCAGAAAAGAGAAACAGCTAAGCTCTGACTGCACCACTCTGTCAGACACATACACACCAGCTGCTTAGTCTGTCATACAACCAAACTCAAATACATTTTCTTTAAAAACCCACTTTGATTTAACCACCAGGTAACATTAGGGGAAATGGCAAAGTATGCAGGGGTCTAGCAAAAAATAAAACACACGAGAAAACAGGGAATATTCATTTAAAAAAAAAAAAAAAAAAAAGCAGAGGTAATACCTCCCAGGGTAGAAGAGCCCAAGCTAGTGCCCAATGCTGAGGCAAAGGGGTTTCCAAACCCTGCCCCCAGAGGCGCCTGGGTCCCTAAGGCACAAAGAGAGAGCACAGGCTTTTACTCTTCTTTTATGTGAGACAAAAAACACAAAGTAAACTGCACTGCTGTCACGCTGACAGCTTTATTTTAGCTTTAGAAACAAGTCCTGCAGTTGATTCAAATAAAATATGATAATCTGATCTAATGACTGCGCCGACAGAGGCATCAAAAGACTACAGCATCTAATTAACTGCAACCTCACATGAGCTGAAATATGACAATAATTAGGCAACGGATCAGGCTTTCACAAAGTACATATGAATATGTACTATCCTGCTATAAAGGCTTTCAACTATAATATTCCAGCTAATCAGCAGCGCATTTATCACTGCTGGCAAGCTGGGAGGGAAAAAGGAAGCACTGCTAGTTCTTTCACTCAGAAACTTGTCTTGTTTTCTTTAAGCGTTCTCTTTTATCTTATCAAATTTGGGAGCTTTTCAATTAGTCTACATTCTTAAAACAAGTTCAGTGAAAAAGAAACAAGGACAAGCGTTTCTTTGTTTAAAAACCAATTTATTTTCAATTAAATATGCAATTCCACTTACATAAAACACAAACAAACAGTTTGGAACAAAAATTGGCTGTTAATTGCTAAGTGCTACTGCATTTGACAAGTTTCCAAATTCAAGATTTCTGAGAGTGAATGAACTAGCATACCTAAAATTTAATTTTAAAAAAACTTTTTAAAAATGCATCACACAATTACTGAATATAGCTTTAAAAGGCACAACATATTTATAGATTAAATATACTGTATCAACAGGCATTGGATATATAAGATTAAAACACAAGGTTACAGGTAAAAGCACTGGAGAATTAGATAAGAAATGTGAAAACGGCATTCATGGCTGCCTTTCAGTGTAAACTGGTCAAAACAAAGAAAATCAGTGATTTGGTACAGTTTGCCTGTGAAAGACAGTGTGGTCAAGTTTTGAGTCATGCGTCCAACATAAACTGAAGGACCTTTGTTATGTTCGTTTAAATAATTTTACACCGATTTTGAAAACAAAAGCTCCATTGTAAATTACTATAAGCTACAAATCCGTCTTTGTGGGACCGAGTCTGACTTTAGAGAGAGATGACAAGCTAAAACCTGCAAGAGATTGATTTTTTTAGTCTAATTTCAGATAACTAACAGTAAATTCTACTGGTTCCAAAACACCCTATAATAGTCATGCCTCCTGAACGCCACTAGCAGGGGAAAAAAACAAAGAAAATACTAAACACTATAAATGACAAAGAATATGGAAATGTTTTGGAGATAATAGCAACATTCAAACAGTCAACTAATCAGGCCCATTATTGTGAACTGTTGTGCTCAAGCTTTACACACAGAAAAACAAAGATACCAAAAGGTATAATTCAGATTCATTACTGAGCATCTCAGGTTCATGTAGGCAAATTGTGACACTGGTAATCTACCTACCATTTAAAAAATAAATAAATAAAAAGTCACATTAATTCCTTCACTTCTTTTATAAAAGGAAAAAAAGAGGTAAATGGGAACAGCTGTTATATTAGCACTCATGAAAATACAGCATTTGCATACACGTTACTGACAGTGAGAAGATACCTACTAGAGAGTATTAATGTGGCTTAATATCCACAATTACCTTCAAAGTCAAAACAACTTTGACAGACCAATAATTATTACATTATTTAATAGTCATTATTGTGCCAAGTGAGACTGTAGAGGTGTGGAAGACGATATTTTAAAGTGTGAGCAAAACTGCACAGAATGTCAAATTCTGGATGAGTGTGGACTTCCATTTAAAGGACTTCCATTAAATCCTACAAAAACAAACAAAAACCTAGCGTTTGATAAGAGGACTGACTGTCCAAAAGCAGCAGTGTTTTCATTAGCAATTAATCATTTAGGTTGTTTTTTTACCCATACACCACCGTAATCAGCAGCAGTATGCCGATGATTACTGGAAGTGGGTTCAATGAATTCCTGTTTGTATCGCGACATGTGCAACGGCAGTTTTCCAATCTTTATTCCTCTGAGTGCCAATACTGCTGAGCTCGCAGCGCTATCTACAACAAGCAACGCTGTACCCTCAGATGAGAAAAATGGTGGGAAAATAAACTCCCCTGTACAATCAAGACACACAATGTGGCCATACAGACCAGTTTCTTTTGGCACTAATGTATCTCACTGGTACTTATGGACCAGTGTGAGCAGCAACAAATTGTTCTCTTCTGAACTACCAAACAGTTAAACCAACAAGTAGACTTTTTACAGAATTGAGAAGCAAATGTCTGTACAACATACCATCGCCTTGGATAAAATACCTGAAATCACAACTTGTGAACAGCTCTTTAGCTCCACATTTTCTCTGAAATGAACTCTATGTGAAATGATCCAGCCCTGTTGCACTGACAGTAGCCCTTAAGTGAAATCACTTTCATCAAGTTACAGTGGTATGGCCTTTATTAAAACCAAACCAGCCAAATATATCAAGGTATTGAACAGTGAGATAATGCACACACTTACTGTCACTGCTGACAATTCATTATCCAAATGATCTGTCCACATAAAAGACCAACCTCAGCTCCTTGTTCACAACACAAACACACTGAGAACACTGCTTCATTTAGGCCAGTAAGTGACCGGGGCTTTTCACCGTTCTCAGCCTTAGTTCCACTAGAAAAAAGTACATTTCAGAGTTATTTTCAGTCCTGAGTCTTTTGGTACCTTAACCCAATGTCCATGGAGACAGAAATCTGAACAGTGTAGGCCCATTCTCATCTGGCATGTGTACAGGTCGGATGTGAATCTACCAAAAGACAAAAAAAAAAAAACAAAAAACAAAAAAAACCCCACTCCAGCCCACTGCATCTTTAAATGCTGTGATACTGATCACCCTCCAACATGACATTTCAATAATGACCCAAGTTTAAGGTTGACCTATTATATTTCGAGCTCTACTTTTTTAATCCTTGGGTTCTATTAGATTTGCATGACTCGCGTCCCCTCAGTTCATCCACTGACTGAAACAAACCTGTTTTAGCTCCTCTCTCTTCAGTCAACTTTCTTCTGATTGGCTGCCCCTTGCAAAAAAAAAAAGCTGTGAAAAGCAGGTGGGTGGGGCTACTATAACCATATTAATGATAATCCTTTGTTATTCAGTGTGTGAATGTGAGAGTGAATGAATAGAGGAATTGTAAAGCGCTTTGGGTGCCTAGAAAAGCGCTATATAAATGCAATCCAAACAGTGTCATGAGTTAAGAAAAATATATTAGAAAACTTGCATTTAGAGTTCTGAAGGCTGAGTGTTTGGTTTGCTGGGATTACTTGTACACTAAACTCATTTTGAAACTTTCAACATGTTTAATATGCAACAACTAAATGAATCTAAACAGGTCACCTTTAAGCAGAAAAAAATAAATATATAAATAAATATACTAGCCTGCAATTAGGCTTAGCAGAAAAGGTGGGAGATTTGCTAAATAAAGCAATCAATTACCCTAGCCAAAAATAATTTACAAACCCGACTCATGTTAACCTCATATACTACAGCCTTGTTGGATAGCTAGCATACCCAGAGCACAAATGGATAAAATGAACAAGTGATCAAAAAAATTATTTGATTTTTAATGAAATTTAAAAAAAAAATCTTAAGCAGGCACCGAGGTGGTGTGCACTTCTACCACACAATAATAACTATTGTGGCTTGTGTGTTAAGTTGTTGTTATTTTTTCTTTTTCAGTAAACAGTGGCTAAGGAATGGATTAGTTAAATAGTCCCATACCTACTTGGCACATAGTTAATTAGTTTAGGTGTTAACGTACAACTCCATCTGCATACCCAAATAAGTGTTCAAAAGTATGTGAAATATTCATTAAAAATGGAAAAATTAGCAAACATCTGGTGGGCAGCAGATCTGATAACAGTCAAAGCACATCTCATGAGCTTTGTCAAATGAGTACAGATTAGACTAACATTTTTAAACCAACCTGCCTTTACATCCCATCAACCTTTGAAGTTACGTCAATAAAGAGACTGCAAAAGCATGTTAATATATAGCTTAGTGTGTTAGTTGTATGCAGGTACCCTGATGTGCCAGTAAGAATGGCTTACAACTCAAACCAGATGTTGCAGTAAATATTCTTAAGGTTATGTTGGCTGTAGTTTAACAAAACTGAATTTGAGTCCTTGACTGCTCAGTATAAGAGTCTCATTTAGATATTTTAGGACATAAGCTCCTACAAAATGCCAAATCAATTTCCGATTAAACACAATGTTTAATCCGTGTATTTATGCTTAATACAACGTACTTAATAGTATTTTTTTTGTTACTGTCAAAGAGTAGAAAGAATTTGACAAACAGCATGACAGTCAAACTGTAAATGTCATTAGGTTAAGGTTATTTAGAGAATGGTTTCTCTAAAGTGAATATCTGTGTCTAAACTAGACTTTTTACTTGTAAGACCTTGGGCAACAGAAGCTGTGTGCTTGAAGGAACGGTGGGGATGACAACTTTAATATATTCGCTTCTTATTTTACTACCCTGTATATTCAGAGAGGAGCATGTTGATTCGGTGTCAGATTAACTGGTGTTTCCCACACGTCTGAGATATCATTCGGATTTAAGATAGCTGGGGCTACATTGCCATAGACGTACACCAACTCAACGCCCAGACTGACGTGACAAAAATCTAAAGATGCACCACTACCTGGACTAATCATTCAGAAACCACAAAATTCACAGCAAGTGCATTAATTATCCTAACTTCATTACACAACAACCTCAACTGAGTACTAGGCTCACTTTTAGCATTGCTAAAACAAAACAAAACCCAAAACTGAGGTTTAGAAGTTTCCAGATTCAAAATGAGATTGCTCGACTTTTTCCACCACTGTGCATTTTCCCCAGTGATGTCAGCCATAAAGCTGCTCTGGTATCCCATTAGAGAGGGCACACGGAGGAGGAGAGAAATTAACAGAAGGGATTTGGTCTTCATTTTGCACTGGGGCCATCTATTTAATGTCCTCACTCTTGAATTGTAAGGTGCATAAAATAAATGTTCCCAACTCTTGTACTGAGTCAGAGACAAGACGGTAAGGCAGCACAAATGTCTCCTGTTAAAGTTAAGCAACAGATTTCTCTCATTTCTTCCTTTCTAGCCTCTTTTCATTCACTACAGAAAGCACAGATACCTTAACACCAGATAAGGCTGCTGTTACTTTTGTACTTTTAATCATCCTCTCTCACCTTTTGAGTTATTTGCTACCAAAATATGTTAAAAGCACACTGATCCTGTCTTCTCCACAACTTGCTTTTATTATTGATTCTCCTTCCTCTCCTTCAGTCTCCTAACAAAGGAGAAACTTGCTAGAACTTGTAGGCAGTCAGACCTGGAGTTGGCTGCTGTTGCTGGGTCAATGTGGCTGCCATGGCCACAGCTGCAGCATTGGGCACACTGGAGAACGGAGCAGGCCCAGTAGTGACTCGCGGCGTGCTCTGCCATTTCCTGTTAGACACCCGTTTGGACTCAAACACATCCGTGGAGTCTTCCAGGAAGGCTCTGCGGTAGGAGAGGTACTGATGCTTCAAAATCTATACCACAAGACACCAGAGAGAAAGACACGTTAAATGAAAACGCTACAACTGCCTCGTCACCCAGTCCTATACATTATTACACATTACATTTCAAGCAATGCGAATGAGGATCTTTTTATTATTATTATTAACATATGTAAAAGCAGGAGGGAATAAACTGACCTTGACATTCTCATGGACAGACTGGAGCTGGGCGGCCTGTGCGACAAATGTTTGATACAACTTCTGCATGGCCAAGGTCAGATCTGTAAACAAAAGCATAAAAAAAATGTCTGCATAAATATTTGATGTATTTTAATAAAACGGGGTGGGTTACAGAAAAGAAAAGAACCAGAAACTGTCTTTTTTCTCTTCATCTTGAATGCAAACACATCTGTAGCCTGTTTGTTAATGAAACATGTAACACTGTGATCAAACCGAACTTTAACATGACCAGAATTACGTTAACAGCCAGACAAATGTGTTCTCACCCTGAGGAGTGATGTGAGAGCCGCTGCTTTGGGTTGTCAGGTGGTTCTCCAGCTCCTCTATCTGCTGCCGGTACTGCTGAAGCTGCACCTCGAATTGCTCTACCAGGCTATGGAAATAACTACACACAAAAGGGACACATATTTTAAATCTCAGTACATTAAGCAATGTTCATTATTAACCTTTTGAATCAACTATTAAGAGAAGCTTTTTGACAAAAACATCCACTGGCCACGCGTATTTTTTTTATTGCTGTCCTATGATATTAAAATGAAATAGTCGTTTGAAACAGAGTCTATGAGAACTAAAGGACTGCAATAGCACGCATTGACCTTGGATTTACTTTCTGACTTTCATCCAATAGCTTACTTACTCTGATGGAGCCGTATTCTCGTGCTGAAGTCCAGGGGGGGTCTTTTGTGTACGAAGTGCTATGTCAGCATTTTTCAACTCCTTAGCAACAAAGGAAAGAGGAAAGTCAAACATCTAGAAAAAAAAAATCTGTGAGATTTCCAAGGGAAACTTTTTCATATTTTTAGTTTGTGAGGTATAAGGAACAGGAAAGGTTAACCCACATATTAAGTTCATCTGAAGTCCAATTTAAAATAATTCTGTTTATCTTAGGTACAGCTACAGATGTTTTAGGAAATGAACACTGATACTGAACTTCCTGACTTATATATTTTGCAACACTGCATACACTATATATTGTGTATCCACTAGAAGTTTGGAATGCAAGTTTCTGATTTACTGACTTTCTAATGACAAATAATGTGCAACCGAAATAGACACCTGTGTCAACATAAGTACACCGTTTTTACCTGTGCCGTCTCCAGTTTCAGTTTGTCGATGGCCAAAGCTTGGCGCTGCAGACCGCTGGCGCTGACGGACAGAAGCTGTTTGAGGCTCTTGATGTCATCTTGGACTTTAGAAATGGCTTTTGATGACATTCTGCTTATATCCTCCTGAACTTGTTTTTGCTCTTTCACAAATTTTCTGCAAAAGAATTAAGAAAAGAAGGAAATCACTTGTAGATGACATAAAAGCTCTCTGATAGATATGGCAAACTATCAAAATATGCTTTCAAAGTGCTACTACTCAAACTATATGTATGCATCTGGGATTTTACACAGAATGGGGACTCCTAGAGACCTCACCAAATAAAATTTGGGTTGGGTCATACTGCTGCATTCAACCTATTAAACACCCGATTTAAAAAAAAGAAATTAAAAAATAAATAAATCACACAACGATACTTACTGAAAATTTTCAACATCCTGACAAATAACTGGGGGCAGGTTCTCATCTTTTAGAGCTTTGCTGTCCCTGAGGGTGAGAAAAAGTGTTTTTCATCATTAGAACAGAAAGGATAGTCGGTGCTAAACATTAACAGCAGAGTGAGACATTAGACATATTCCATAAGACAGTAAAGGACCGTGTTGGTCAGCAGGACATACTGCGCATTGGCTCCAGATGATGTGTCGCTCTTATTCTCAGAGGAAGTGCTGAAGTCGACTCCACCCAGGCCGATACTCTGAGCAGGAGCTGCTGATGACGCTGTCGAGGTTGCCAGCAGAGAACCGAACGATAACCCGCCTCCTGCACCAAGAGTAGTCTGACTCAGACCTGCGGCAAGAAATAGTCATACAGTTTATAGAACTGTGACAACTAATTAAAACGAACACTCTGTAATTCAAAGCATTCACTGTACTCCCACTTGGCCATGTATTTAACACATCAGCTCTGTAAAGCTGACAGTTTGCCTCTCACCTGTAGGCACAGTGCTGGAGAAGAGACTGCTGCCTAGTGATGGACCTGTTAAGGCTGCCGTGGTGGTGGTCGTAGTTCCGCCGAGACCGAGGGCAAAGCCAGTGGCTGTAGGCTGCTGTGGAGCAGTGGAGGTCAGGACAGAGCCAAACGTCAAGCCTGTCCCAGCAGCGGCTGTCGAAGAGGTGCTAGTAGCTGTGAGGGAGAACGGCGTAGCTGAGGCTGTGGGCTTGTTGAAAGCCAAGCTAAAGCCAGTGGTGGCAGCTGTATTGGCTGGGGCACCTGAGAGAAAGTAATTGTTTATTTAAAAAAAAAAAAAATCACAATTATTACCTGCTGTTCAGAAGCTCTTCAACTTAAAAATACCCCAGAGAACCCCAAACATACCTAATGTGAGGCCTGTAGTGGGCGCAGCAGCACCTGAAATAACACAAGGTCCCAACATAAGATGGGCAGCTGGCAGAAATATCACAAATACTTTTATTTCTTTATCATTTTGCATTCTTACTTGAGGCAGGTGTATTGAAGGAGAATCCTCCAGCAGGTTTCTGAGCAAAAAGACTGCCTCCTAGGCCAAGAGACGGGGTGCTGGTGCTGGTACTGGGGGTTGCACTTGCTGTACCCAAAGGTGTACCAAAAGAAAAGCCACCGGTATTGGCCGCAGGAGCACTTTCGAAGAAAAAAAAAAAAAGTAATATGTTTAGGCCCATACATTCTTCTACAATATCTGCCAAGTTTCAAACTAATAAAAGATTGACATTGTGTTATGGTTACAGTACACACAGATTAACAACTAGGATTTTGTCGAAGAAAATACACAGGGTCTTAAATTTCTATATAGAAAACCTAAATGGTGATAAGTGCTTTACAGATGGATGGTAATCCCAATCACATTATTACCAGTAATGAACTAATTTCCCTCTTAAAAAATAAAAAGTAACTACAACTACTATAGCTTAATTGTCACTTCAAAGACTTATCTTGGCAGCCCGCAATTTGCAAGAGTTCACTCTGCAGTGCGTGCATGTGCAAAGTTTCAAATAACAGAGTTTACAAATGTATCCAATTAAAATGCTCATCTATAACCCGACATTGCCGAGTAGCTCGGGAAAACAACGTACCCAGCACTGACTTTGAAACTCGCAAGCCGTATCTGCTAACGCCAAGATACCTCTGGTTATGCTAGCGTTAGCTAAGTGGGCTATCTAAAATTTGTCGTTACCTGGTTGCGGCCCCAAATGCGAATCCTCCACCTGTGTTGGTGGACCCAAGAGTTCCCGAACCAAAGTTAAAGCTAGACATTTTCTTTTAAAAGGCACGGTGTCAACACCAATCGGTTATGTGGGCTTAGCTCACTTCTGAAAACATCACAGCTAACACGACAGTTAGCTTAGACGCCCGCGTGAGGGCCGAATCCGCGGTCCCGTCTTCACCAAAACATACTTGAACTCATCAGCTCTCTCACTAAATCCCAAAATATTCAGTTGCCACCTGTTATGTTTACACAACCTGTTCCTCTGCTTCTATTTCTTAAACCTGACAATTATCGCAGGGTGCATTCACGCATGGTGTCACTTTTCTTATTCCCCGCCTGGTATATCCTAAATGCTAGTGCATTTTGGGTAGTGGATTTCCTTTCTTTCAACTACATTAACCGTCATCCCCTCAGATTTTGCGTCTCGTGATGTGTCACGCATGCGCATGGGGTTAAGTCTGGCAGTTCTGAGCAGCGGATGTATGTTGAATCCGGTGTTTCTTTCAAAATAAAAGAAGCAGCTACAGATTATAATAACAACGAAGAACGGCTCAGAGTACATTAATGTATTTGCAAAGCTGAGTATAACTGGTTGCACAATGCTGTTTCAAAATTGTCATTGTCTCTGTGAGTTTAAATAATCTGTTACTTACCTGATAAACGAGCAACAGTTCCATTATTCTGAACCAGGGGCGGATGAATGGTTCACAGGTTTGCATCATTAATAGTTTTTGGTAACCTAATAAACCTAAAAAATTATGAAAATAAATACGTTGCAAATGTGTTATCTGAGTTTTTCCAACATTTATTGCATTGTTCCACCTTTTTTTACCCAGAAATGTTGCAGACCATCTTTTGCAAACTCTGAAAAGTATATTTTATCAATATTAATGTCAATTAACAAATTAACTATTCTACATTCTACATTTCTTATTATAAAACAGCATATAAAAATATTAATACATGTTTCAGCAGAGATTTATTCAGATCTTTTGACATTATGTTTGGGTTCTTTTTTGTTTGTTTTGCTCTCACTTTGATATTTGCTAGATGTAACCTGTGCACAGTCCTGAATTTCATCCTTTTTTAGAGGGTGCCAAGAGGAACTGTGGCACTGCATGAGGAAATCAGCAGTGGCAGGGAAGTATGTGAGGCTGGTGCCGTACATTTGTTAGGACAGCAAGACAGTGGTGAGGTGTGTGGTAGGCAAGATGGAGCCTAGCGACATGGAGAGAAGATGTGATCTGGAGAGAAGAGGAATGGAAATCAGAAGAAACAAGACAGAAACTGTGAGAGTCAGAGGGAGACATTTGGAACCATAAAGCTGCAAGGAACAGAGGAATGATAATGAAGTTGGATGAGTTTACCTGAGGTCACCCATCCAAAACAATGGACAGATTTAGAGATGAGATAGTCTGAACATGTGCAGAGGAGGGATGCTGTATCTACTGGTGAAACAATGTTGACTATAGAGGTGGCTGTAGCTCAGATGGCAGAGCAGGTCAGCCACTAATCAAAAGGTTCGTGGTTCAATCCCAGGCTACCAAATATCCTTGGGCAAGATACTAACCCCATGTTTGCCTACTGGTGGTGATCAGAGGGCCAGGGTCCGGCAGCCTCGCCTCTGTCAGTGCGCCCCAGGGCTACAATGTAGCTTGCCATCGCCAGTGTGTGAATGACTGAATGTAGTGTAAAGCGCTTTGGGGTCCTTAGGGACTGAGTAAAGCGCTATACAAATGCAGGCCATTTACCATAGAGCTGAGAGGGACAAGGAAAGAGAAAAACTTCAGAGGGGGTTTGTAGATAGAGTGAAGGGGGCATGCAGGGGAGATGATCCGCTGTGGTGATCCCTAAGCATTTAGGTAGTCAAATGGCGACCCAGTCTCTCCAGAGAAGAGCACACTTTGTAAGTATATTTGCTTTACTTTGACAAGTAATCACACCAATAATTATTATAGGTTGTAAGTTTTTTGTTATCTTTTATCTTGATTTCATTTTAACTTTGCTTTTCATTCAGTTAGTTTCAGCTAGTTCCCAACGTAGGTTTGATGGTTTCAGTTCAGTTTTTATTGTTTGGAAAATGTTTCGTTTTAATCTGTTGAAGTATTATTGTTTTTAGAAAATATACACTAATCTAAATCTATTATTGTTTTTTTAATTAACTAAAGCGTTTTTCACATATAGTTTAAGTATTTAGGTTGTTTTAATTCTGATTACAGGCAGCACGGTGGCATGGTGGTTAGCACTGTTGCCGCACAGCAAAAAGGTCCTGAGTTCAATTCCAACATCAGGCCGGGGTCTTTCTGTGTGGAGTTTGCATGTTCTCCCTGCGTGGGTTCCCTCCGGCTTCCTCCCACCGTCCAAAGACATGCAGCTTGTGGGGATAGGTTAATTGGATAATCCAAATTGTCACCAGGTATGAATGTGAGTGCGAAGTGTTGTCCTTGTGTGTTGGCCCTGCGACAGACTGGCGACCTGTACCCTGCCTCTCGCCCTATGACAGCTGGGATAGGCTCCAGTGCCCCCCGCGACCCTGAAAAGGATAAGCGAATGGATGGATGGATAATTCTGATAACTTCAAATTGCTTACAAACTCTGCCCTACAACCCCAACCAGTAAAAGAGTTAAAAGTTGAATTTGATCCCGCTTTTATTTTGAAAACCCCCACCTCAAGTGCCGACGTACTTTGCGCAAGCTTTACGCGGATGGAGTGAAAATAATTGACAATAAACACATATCGTATGCCCCCGAAAAAGTGAAGGCGTCTTGTGCAGGAGTCGAAGCTTTCACATCATCAATGATTCATTTCAATCCGGAAGGTGTCGTTTGAAGCTTTGTAGGCGCTGACAGCTGTTTCGACCCGGGGGGAAAATGGAGCATATCCGAACGCCAAAGGTAGCTAACGTTTCTTGCTAATTGCAAATGGATGGGATACAGTCGGCAGCTGGGCCTTGTCTGTTTGCGATTTTGTTGGAAGGCTCGAGTCAGGCTCCGTTTTCTGGCCATCAGTGTTCAGAGTGAATTTATGTGAATCAACGTTATAGCGTAACGGCTAGCAGGTGTCGCCAACGACTCCAAATGTCAGCAGACGTGGCGAGCATCAATGAGCCGTTTGTTTTTCCCGTTCATCAGGAAGATCGGCTTCCTCTATCTAATTTTACTACTTGCACGCTCTGCTATTTATTGCGACAGATATCCACCGTCAGTACAGTCATTGAATTCAGTATGATTGAAGAAGCAAGGAAAAGCCGGGCCATATCCAGCACAGACTCGCAGGGTTGACTTGGACTGTACGTCAAATTGGGCGATCGCAGTTTTATCATAAGCATAAAACGCCAAAACAGTGAGCTCACTGCCTGGGCTAAATCACTCCCAATAGACCAGATTTAAAGGAAAGCAACCAGCTGAAAAAGGCAAGACTCGAGGAGTGCTGCAGTACGAGTTTAGCCCTGCCAGGCCTGTACTGCTAGAAAATATACTGCTGTGTGTGTGCACAGCAGTATATGCAAGAGCTGATCCTTTTAACCCTTAAATCATTGATCCTTTCAAATCTGATCTGCAGCCACTCACAAACAACCAACAACAGCCAACAGTCCTAGTACATACTTCATAATCTTCATAATTCCTTTTAGTCTGCCATAAGGTGGCTCGGTGTGCTTAATTTTATCTAACGTCTCTGTTTTTGATCATATTAGGAAGCAGTATCACACGATTCTTGAGGTTCAATGACAATTGTGCTATTTGTCAGTGGGGAAAAAAAAAGAAATGCTGAGATCTGGCATGTAGACAGACGGGGAACACCCATGCAGAATGGGTGTTCCCCATTTTTTTCCACACCTCTCAGTGGTTTGTCTGGTTTAAAAGTCGGAGGAGATTATTATTTGCTGTTATAGTGTTTAAAACAAACAAAGAAAACAAGCTGCTTGTTGTAGCAATCAGGGTAGTTTAAGTTGCATAGGCATGTAACAGGATGAAACACAAATCCTAACATTAACTTCCCTATAAGATGGTATGAGGTCTCTGTCCTCCTTCTCTCTTCCCTTTCTCTCTAACCTGCTCTCAAGCACACGCATGTGGGCACACACACAAAAACAACTGACTTCCCGTATGTTCCAAGAAGCTGACTTATGACAGAGCCGCGACCCGCAGGTTGCTGAGCGACCGAGAGAGATTTGATCATCATATCTCAGCAAACGGAAACAAAGTGGAGGATGTCTGAGTCAACCGGAAACAGCTAATGTGATGAATCATGGATTCGGACAGCTAGTGCTAACAGCACTGCACAGTCCAAAAATCAGTGACTTTCCAAATGCACTTTGGCTATAGAGTGAAGGTGACAGGAGCTTTTATTTTGATATGTCTTGCATCTGTGATGCAGAAGGCAATAAAATAGATGCAACAGTGCAGAGCAAAGTCCAATGGTGATATTATTTGTTTGTTTTATATTGTTGTAACATCAGTCTCATAAAGATCTTTAAAAAGATTGTGCTGTATAAAACTGGTTTTATTCATTTATTTATTTTTTCTAGGATGTAAACCAGAAGCACATTAAAGGTTTTTTTTTAAAACCTGTTATAGCTATTAGACCCAAGCCTGTGTGAAAACTCGTGACTTGAGTAAATATATTACTCATTATATCTGCTATTCTGTTTGGGCGTTTGTGGTATTAGTGCAATCAGTTGCTACACTTTCACTGTTGCAGCTACTGAATATAAATTTTTGAGAAGGAAGTCAAAACAAAATGAACTATGTTTGACTTTAAGCTAGATAAGATTGTTTAATTAAGAGGCAGGTGGTTTGTTTATTAAGGCAGTGGCAGCAAATGTCACTTGTGACTGCACTTATTAAAATTAAACTGGCAGCTGATAGTGAGGACCAGGTGGCCAGGATTAATTGGTGTGCTAGCCAGAACTGGTGCCAGTAATTTTTCTGTCAGGTGTCAACCGTGCTCGCAAGATGCCATCTCTTGTAGTCTCAGTGTATCCAGCAAGAGAAGCGAAGGGTGCGCCTGATTATTTAGATATTACCATTATGTGCATCTGTTTTTGCAGGTGGAGCAGGTGCGGCTGTTGGATCGCTTCAGCAACAAATCCGTTCATGGCACTCTGTACCTCACAGCCACGCATCTCATCTTTGTGGAGAGCAACTCTAACAACTCGGCCTCTGCTGGACAGGAGGTCTGGGTGAGTAGTTTTGTGCCAACTATGCTGCCCGTTAATGCAGGTTTCAGAGTGCTTGCATATGGATGTCACCTCTGCGAATACACTGTTGTGCAGAGGCATAACTGGAGGATAGCAAGTGCTCACAGAACTTTTACCTCCTGTTGCCAGTTTTCTATAAATTGATGGTGCAGTTTCACGCAAACCAAGTGTGCTCTTTAGACAATTTGGGCCTGTTTTTAGTCTAATAATGAATATTTATTACCCTGCAAATGTTTTTAATACACTCCTGT